AAAAATTAAAAATACAGATATTCAGAGAGTGTGCACATTATTATTTACTGAATACTAGTGCCTTCACCTGAGGCACATTCTCCAAAAAATACTTTACTCTCAATTGGGAAGTTGTAGAGCAGATTTTCCAAGCACTGTATTACTAGCATAATAAACTAGAATTTTCTTTGACTAAACAAGTCACATGCAAAAATAATTTGATTCATGTTTTAATATTTAGAGAGATTTTGTCCTATTTCAAATACCAAAATCTCATTGATTTGCACAACATTTAGTATATCTATATCTAGAATTAAAGATATATTCAACACTTAAAAAAGTTTTACATGTCAACTGCCCCAGATAATACTTAGGGGGCATCCAATTCATAATTAAATTTAATAACACATTTTCCCCTGCTTTAGGTGCTCTGAATTTGCAGTGATTTACTCTCAGCTATCAATATGCCCTACTAGAACCTGGAGCTAACGCACAAGGGCTTTCATTATGTGTCATGAGTTTGCAAAGAAAATTTGAGAGAATGGGGGTGGGGAAGCCAGGTTGTTAAATAATTTTTTCTGCCATTTAATGATATAATTTTCACTGGAATTACAGTAGCTGTAACATCATAGTTGACCATTGGCACAAATTCTGGAAGTCTGAAACAGGCAAGGGTTTAGGAGGTTACCAGTAATTTAAAATTACTCATCAGATGAATGCCCCACTTATCCTTATATACCTGGGATAATCAGAAAAAAAGTACATTTAACTCTTTTAAATACTGGGCTTATTGTTTTTAGCAAGCAACAGAATAATTCCTGATCTATCATGAATTATGAGCTTTTTAAGTGCAATAGAAAGGTTACTAATAATTATACACTATACCATATGTGTGCAAACACAGTTTTGAATCTCACAATGGATTAGTACAGTTTAGCTTTCTTTTATTTGTTCCCTATAGGGGCTAGTTCTAAATTTCAGTATTTTTTGACATTTAAAACAAATGGGACTATAAATATGAGCAAGGAGAGGTATGTGTAATAAAGAGAGCGTGCACACATTTTATTTAGTGAACACTAATCCAAGCTATTTGGTTTTGACATTTGTTTATTTTTTTGGGGAGAATAACAGATCTGCAGAACAACATAATATCAAACCAAAGGCCAGAGTTTCAGAGCAGACTGGATTTCAGGTAAATAGAGACTGAGTGACAGTGGTGGCCAGCTTCTTGGTTTAGTTTTTGAAGAACCCTGTCCTCCTAATTCATTAAGTACCTAATTCATTGACCTTCTTCTTGTTTCCATAAATTTACTATTGTGTAGCTTATTTTACACTGATACTATTCACAATTCACACTACTTACAAAGATAGACTGAACTGTTCTAGGCCTAGATTATCTGCTGGGCCAGAGCTCTGTGAAGTACCACAGATTTTGGGAGCCATTAGGGCAGGGGTTGTACTTGTCTCATTACACAGCTGAGAGCACCCAAACTAGCATTGATCCTCAACAGACCAGATATCTGGAGTGCAGTGCTGTGCAAGCATACCTACTTTCTGTCTCCTGTGCCAGAGCTGGTGAGGATTGCATTGTTAAAAAGCAAGCTATGTCATCTCTGCCTGCAGGGACTCCCTTGCATCTGGGGAATCCTCAGTGAGAAACAGCAGGGGTTGTTTTCATCTCCTTTGTGTCCTAATTCCCATCTATTTGTACCAAATCAGCAACTGTGAACTATTTGGAAGAATGCACATTAGATCACTTAGGAAGACCCATTCCCAAGCAAACAGCAATAATTTACCCAGTTTGGTGTAGATGCTAAAAATGCATTTACTTGATTAATAGAGATAATGCAGTACCACTGACAGAATGTGACAACTGTTCTTATAGTTTGAAAAGCCATATGTACTTCAGTTTTATACTAGTGGAATAAAACATTTTGAGAACAATGAGGCATATAAAACTTTGACCTTATTAAAAATATCTAGAATGTAGTGCCCTAAAACTAGAAATGCTCATTTTCTTTAAAGGAAATAGAGCAAAGATACAACATAACACACAAAGCTAACAGGACAAAGGAGATACTATTGACTCATTCCAGACTGCCGACTTAGCAGCTTAACTTTGCTTCCTTTTAACTTTTGTAACAGTAGGGAGCTCAAAGCTTTGCAGTCTATTTTCTGCACAAATAGAAACACCCAAACTTCAAAAAGTAATACACTTTGAAGAAACTAAAACCATCAACAAGTTAAAAACCATGTGTGCTACTAAACTGAAGTCCATACTACTTAAATTTTGCATTGGGAAAGTGCTTGTATTTTAGGTTACTACATTACTTCAAAAAGTTGTTTTCCCTATTAACGTCATTCAGTCTGTAAAACACTTTTTGTTGTTTTTAGTGTGATATGGATTTGTTGACTTTGCAGTGGGTAAGTACTACTTCAGTATTTTGACAAATTGTGTAAATAAAAAATTGTCTTACATGTCATAGGTACACACTGCAATATTTTGCTAAGTCTTATAATGTTAAAATGATAAAACTGCAGGATAGGCTATAAGAAGTTTATATTTTGGATTATTTCAGTGCTTTTTCTATTATTTTTGAAGTGTTTGCTTTATTTACTAATTGAACTTTGGAATGGTTGGCTTTTTTGTCATTTGTTGAAGATCTACTGTGACTGGCCAGTAAAATGTGTCATTACACCTCTGGTTCCTGTCATTTCTATAAAAAAGACTATCAAATGCACATTTCACTGAATTAATCTGTGCTACAATGGTACCTTGTATGCTAGTTTGTCCCTAATTGGACATAAAACATTTGAAAGAGCAGTTTAAGCATTGTGTGCCTGCAAATCAAACTTAAATCTCCTAAGAGAAATTGCATCTTGAACATATAATATTTGTGTAAAATGGCCATGCATTACGTAAGCCACCCAACGTGGCATTTTCTGTAATACCAAGTTAAACATGTCAAATATTAGAAATGTAGTTGTAGTAGGAAGGAATCTGGAGCAAACATTTATTTACCTTCTCAAATCTGGAAGCAGAAGAATGGATTTTGCATGTGTTTCTAAATGCTAAACTGCTTTAATACACTTTGATGAGCTTTTGAAACACTGCACTTATGTTTACAGCTCCCCAAACATTACCAAGAGACAGACATGTTGTGAATAAGGGACTAGCTATCACTCTTCAGGTCTGTGTGCAGCCTGGCTGGCCAGGGTTTGTTTTGTTGTTTTGTTTTGTTTTTGTTAGAGGTAGGCAAAGCAGAGAGGACAGGCTCTACCTAAAACTGGGTCCTTTAGAACCCAGCGTTACAAAAATGAGGGGAAACAGGGCCAGCGGAGAACTCTCCATTTCTCGGAGTGCAGAGAGGCTGGTGCGTGTGACTGTCAAAAGTTTGCTTCGGGATCTGCGAGCCGAGCCCCACCCGCACTAACACCAAACAAGTAGGCATTGTGCAGCGCTGGCCCCAGAGCGCCGGGCGCTGCCGGCGCTTCGGAGATCAGGGCAGGTTTGAGGAGAGGCACGCAAGGAGGAGAGTCCGGCCGTCCGCCTTGTGTCCCCTGGCCAGCCGGGCTGGGGGCTCCCTAGTGGAAACAGCTAGCTGGTGGTAGTGGTGCAGGAGGAGGTCAGTTGGGTCAGGAGTCGCAGAGCCTGCAGCCAGGCCTCGGGCTGTCCCTTGCCTCGCTCTTGCTCTAGGCTGGCTCTGGTGCCTGGCCCTTCCCCAGCCAAATTAAACCGCGGCTGCCTCCCGGCCGGCGGTTCACACAATGGGAGGAGGCCCCTGCTCAGCAGGGCTGGGCAGAGGCTCCCTCCCCCGGGCTGCCCAGTGGGAATCGCCGGGCAGCGTCCTGCCCAGCCAGCGGTTGGCACGCCCTGGCAAGCCTGAGCCCTCGTCTCGCTGCCGAGCTGCTTCCTCCCGCCCAGGGGGAGAGAGAAAGGTGGGAGCGAGGCGGCGGAAGGGCCGCCCGCTGTTGTCAGGGTGGCGGTGACTTCATTCTTTTCTTAATATAGAGTCGGTTGTCAGGCTCCGGGCCGAGCCGGCTGGCGGGGTTGGCTGTCAATAACATGACGTCACAATACGCCTGTGTGAGCACTGTAAACACTAGGCTTTGGTCAGTCAAAGTGTGTGTGTGTGTATGTGTGTGCGTGCGCGCGTGTGTATGTGCTTGTGTGTACGCGCGCGCCCGAGGCTGCCGTCTCCTGATCCGTGCGCCTGGGTCCCAGCGGGGGTCCGCCGCCCCCTCCCCCCCCTCCCCTGCCTTCCCCTCCCCGCTCTGTGCGTGCAGTGTCATGTCTCCATGAGCCCTTACCGTGGTTGCGCTCGAAAGGTAACATCATTGGAGAGGGGGATGATGTAATTCTCTCTCTGGCCAGTGACTGCCTTTGCATGCACCGATCTCCCGGTTACTGGAAGGGGGCATAATATCAGCCCCGCATTCGCCGCCCCTGTCGCACGGCGGACCTTGGGGGAGGGCAGTCTCAATCGTCCGCCCCTCCCGTCTCCCCCACCCCCTGCCTGTTAATCCGGAGCGATTATGCCGAGGTGGAGGCTTCTCTCTGTCTCCAGCTCTGGCAGGAGATTGGGTAGAGTCCAATCCGGTGCGTGTGTGCAGTAAACACACCGCCGAGCCCTGGCGGTAAACAAGTCTCCTAAAGCCTTCCCAGCACAGCAACTTGCTGCAGGCAGCTCCCCCAGCGCACAGGCACTTCCCCTCTAACAAAAGCCCGTTGAATATTGGAGAGTGCGTCAGCTTTTGTTCCGCAAGCGGCAGCACCTCTCCTTGATACTCCAGCCCATTTCGGCGTGTGGCGATCGAGCCCCGGCTCAGCCCCGCTGCCCCCGCGCGCGGCCCGGTACACACTCACATGCCCCTCCAGCGCTGTGCCACGGACCCCACTGGCAAAGCTCCTTGACAATCCCAGCGGCTCTTTATTTCCTCGGGGGGCCCTGCCTTCGCAACGGAGCAGGTAGAAGCCTCCCTTCCCCAGATAAAAAAGAAATAATCTGAATGGCACTTACTGTCAGCAGAGGAGGAAAAAAAAAAATAAAACCCCCTTCGCAGTGGAAGGCAAAAGAGCCACTTGCAGGACGCTGCCAGCGGTAGGAGAGAGCGCAGGGAAAAAAAAGCTTCCCTTTGCGAGATCGGCCCCAGATTCGTCTTTCGAAGCGGAAAAAAATCGATACAAATAACAAGCCCCCTGTTGCCTTTTTTTGTGCAGTTTCAGCAAAGCTGCGAGGAAGTTGGTCCTTTTGTTCCACTATTTATAGATTGCGTCAACATTGCGAAAAGGAGAAGGCGGAGCAGTGGCCCTTACTCCTCCGAGGCAGCGAGCGAGCGAGCAGCCCAGCACACACACGCGACCTTAAGTACACAACACGGCAACCTCCTCCTCCTCCACCACCCCATTGAGGAGCGCCGGAGATCGGATTCAATCACGTGTCCGGGGAGAACCAGCCTGCCCAGTGCCTGCAGAGCGCTGCCTTGCCATGCACGGTGGCGGCAGAGAGGAGCCGCTCTCCCGCGCGCAGGGGCTGGGGCTCGCTTCCAGCCTGCGCGCTCCCCCCACAGGGGAAGTGGCTCTGCCGGGGAGCCCCCCCCCCGGGGGCGGTCACAAGTGCCCGTGGCAATGCCCGCTGCCGTGCAGTGCTCCCCTCCATCGCCTCGCCTGCTCAGATCTGCGAATGCACATATTGCCGAGCTCGGAGGCGGTAGAGAGCGAGCTCGGCACAGCCCTGCCCTTGCAAATTCTCTACCAGAGGAAGGGCCGGGGGGG